GTATCTTTATTATTTCAGGATTATGTCTATTATTATAATTACGGGATTTTTGGTATTACAATATTATTAGTATCATTATTACTAAAAAACTGCAAGATTATTAGTAATATTGTTGCGAGATTATTATCATTATCACAATATTAGTATCGTCATTAGTACAAGATTATTACTATTATTATTACAAGATTAGTAGTATTATCATTACTAAAATATTACAAATATTATTCTTACTATTATTATTACAATATTATTAGTGTTATTACCCAAGATTATTAGTATTATTATTACAAGATTATTAGTAATCTTCTCATGAGATTATTAATATTACAATATTACTAACATCATTATTATTATAAAACAATTATTATTATTATTATTATTATTATATTATTATTATTATTATTATTATTATTATTATTATTATTATTATTATTACCAGAGATAGATAGATATGAAAAGTACTTAGGTACATCGCAAGATATGAAAAGGACTGAGATAGATAGATAGATAGATAGATAGATAGATAGATAGATAGATAGATAGATAGATAGATATGAAAATGACTTAGCTAGCTAGCTATCTAGTTAGCTAGCTAGCTAGATAGATAGACAGATATGAAAAGGACATAAGTAGATAGGGAGATAGACAGATAGATAGATATGAAAAGGAATTAGATAGATAGATAGATAGATAGATAGATAGATAGATAGATAGATAGATGTGAAAAGCCATTAGGTAAATAGACAGATAGATAGACAGTCAGATAGATAGATAGATAGATATGAAAAGGACGCAGATAGATAGATAGACAGATAGACATTAAAAGTAGACAGATAGATAGATATTAGAACGACTGACATAGATAGATAGATAGATAGATAGATAGATAGATAGATAGATAGATAGATAGATATGAAAAGACTTACATAGATAGATAGATAGATAGATAGATAGATAGATAGATAGATAGATAGATAGATAGATAGATGTGAAAAGACGTTAGGTAAATAGACAGATAGATACAAAGATAAAAAAGGATAGATAGATATATATGAAAAGGATAGATAGATATATATGAAAAGGATAAATAGATAGATAGATAGATAGATAGATAGATAGATAGATAGATAGATAGATAGATAGATGTGAAAATGAGTTACATGGATACATAGATAGACAGATAGATATGAAAATGACTTAGGGAGATAGATAGACAGATAGATAGATATGCAAAGGACATAGATAGATAGATAGATAGATAGATAGATAGATAGATAGATAGATAGATAGATCTTAAAAGGACTGAGATTGATCGATCGATCGATAGATAGATACATATTAAAAGGATGTAGATAGATATATAGACAGATAGATAGATAGATATTAAAAGGAAACAGATAGATAGATATTAAAGTGACAGAAATTGATAGATAGATAGATAGATAGATAGATAGATAGATAGATAGATAGATATGCAAAGGACTTAGATAGATAGATAGATAGATAGATAGATAGATAGATAGATAGATAGATATTAAAAGGAAACAGAGAGATATATATTAGGATTGACATAGATAGATATATATTAAAAGGACTGAGATACATAGATAGATAGAGAGACATACAGATATTAAAAGCACTGAGATAGATAGATAGATAGATAGATAGATAGATAGATAGATAGATAGATAGATATTAAAAGGACTGCGATAGATAGATAGATAGATTAGGTAGATAGATATTAGAAAGTCTCAAATAGATAGATAGACAGATATTAAAAGGGACGATAGATAGATAGATAGATAGATAGATAGATAGATAGATAGATATTAAAAGGACTGAGATAGATAGATAGATAGCAGTTTTTATAAAATAGACAGACAGACAGAAACAGTATATTGATATTCCAAACGTAGCTTAGATATGGCACAATGCCGAAAGTATGGAACACCCAGTGAGGATCGAACTCACTGCTAAGTCGTAAGTTTCGAGTGACAAGCTTGATAACCATTACACCGCCCTAAGTTGCCCTATTAAGATAGATAGAAAGAAGTTTGAATTAGATAGATAGATAGATAGATAGATAGATAGATAGATAGATAGATAGATAGTAAAAGGAACCAGATAGATAGATAGATAAATAAATAGATAGATAGATAGATATTAAAAGGAATCGGATAGATACATAGATAGATAACAGTTTTAATAAGATAGACAGATAGATACTGCATATAGACGAACAGACACAGACAGACATACATACGAAATATAAAAAGTAAATGTTCTGCAATGTCACACACACACATCCAAGCCGACACACATTCACACACACAGACCCAGACACACAGACTAACACACGTATCTGACACGCATATCCACAAAGTGACAAAACAGTTTCATTATTAAAATTTGGTTTCAAGCTAAATTATTAGTAGTATTACTATTATTAGTAGTAGTATTAGTAGTATTAGTAGTAGTATTATCATTAGTAGTAGTATTAGTAGTATTAGTAGGAGTATTAGTAGTAGTATTAGTATTATTATTAGTAGTAGTAGTAGGCTAAACGTTTTCTATGAGTAAAATGCCTTGAACTTTAAAAGTTAAAACACTAATGGACTTTAACCATGGAGTAAGTGATAGCAAGTCTTTTTAATTTATCCATTAAGCCTGCTATTATTATTATTATTATTATTATTGTTTATTTCTTTTGATTCAACCTTCGATAAAATTATTTCTGAAAACATTGTCCTCAATTCAATAATGAAAAAACTTGTTTTTACTTTTATTTTCACTCGACGAACAATTGACCTAAATTTGGATTTCTAGGAAATTTGCCCACCAAAAATGAATTATACAAAAGCAGAACTACACTCATAAACACACACGCGTATATATATATATATATATATATATATATATATATATATATATATATATATATATATATATATATGTATATATATATATATATATATATATATATATATATATATATATATATATATAATATTTATAGATGTATATATATATATATGTATATATCCAAGTATGTATATATGTATATATATACATACATATTTATGTTTATATACATATATATATATACCTACACACACACACATATATAATCTAATATTGCCATTTAGTCTCAACACTTCTGGTGTTTTATCAGGTGATGGTGATGAATATAGAAATATATATATATATATATATATATATATATATATTACATACATACATACATATATATATATATATATATATATATATATATATATATATATGTATGTATGTATATATGCATATATATATTTGTGTGTGTGTGTGTATGTATGTATAATGCTAATATTAGTGGTCAATATTTATTACAACGTTTCGGCCGTTGTACGCTCCGGCCTTTTTAGGGGTTTGGAATGTCGAACTGAACTCTTTCTTTCGCTGACTGTTTTTGACTTACTATTTTAATGGATGTCATTTATCAGTTATCTAATCTCCAAGTTCTAACCGGGTATTGAACTCACACTCTTTGGGTCACTTGGTGTAACTAACGCCTTCATCCACTGTGCCATGTGTCCTTGAGGAAATCTGTGGCGTGGATTTCTGAGTATTATAAACCTCATGTCTCAGAGAGAGAGAGAGAGAGAGAGAGAGAGAGAGAGAGAGAGAGGTTGATAGATGGACAGATAGATAGATTAGATAGATAGGTCGATAGATGTATTTAGATACATAGACTAGGTGACAGAATTACCGTAGCTTTAGACGCAGAGATAGATAGATAGATAGATAGATAGATAGATAGATAGATAGATAGATAGATATGTATGTAATATAAAAAGTAAATATATTTCTTTTATAGTTCTGCTTTAAGTCGTTTTTGGTGGCCAAATTCCTACAAGTAAAAATTTCGATCAATTGTTCCGTGAGTAAAAAAAAAGTAAAAACAATTGTAAAAACAACTTTTTTCATTATTGACTTGAAGTCCATATTTTCATAAATAATTTTATCGAAGGTTCGATCAAAAGAATTAAACAACAACAACAACAATGATAATAATAATAATAATAATAGCAGGCTTGATGGATCAAAAAGATTTGGTGTCACTTGATCCATGATTCAAGTCAAGAGAATTATTGTTTTAAAATTCAAAGCCTTTTTGACTCATGATTAAACATTTAGGTTACTACTACTACTACTACTAGTAGTAGTACTACTGATACTACTACTACTACTACTATTAATATGGATACTAATACTACTAATAATTTTGTAATAATGAAACTGTTGGGCGTGGATGTTTTTGTGACTTTTGCAAAACATTTTGTGAAAAATTCATATTTACTTTTTATATTATGTATGTATGTATGTATGTATCTATCTCAGTCCTTTTCATATATCTATCTATCTATCTATCTATCTATCTATCTATCTATCTATCTTAGTCCTTTTCATATCTATCTATCTATCTATCTATCTATCTATCTATCTATCTATCTTAGTCCTTTTCATATCTATCTATCTATCTATCTATCTATCTATCTATCTATCTATCTATCTCAGTCCTTTTCATATCTATCTATCTATCTATCTATCTATCTATCTATCTATCTATCTATCTATATATCTATCTATCTAATTAGACCTGGTTTCTATCTATGTAGTTCAACTTGAGGCGGTGTAATTGTTATCAAGCTTCTCTCGCTGTAACAATTATGCCTGAGTAGTGAGTTCGATCCTCACTGGATACCCCCTACTTTCGGCCTTGTGCCACATCTAAATTAGGCTTGGAATATTCCTGTACTTTTTCTGTCTGTTTTATTAAACCTGCTTTCTATCTATCACTCTATCTGTATCGCTTCATTATATATCTATCTATCTATCTATCTATCTATCTATCTATCTATGTCACTTCGTTACCTGTTTATTTGTTTGTCTATCGATTTATCTAATCCAACTCTTTCACGCTTGATTTTGAGGGTAAATTTTTGAGAAATAATTTTATCGAAGAACAAACCGAAACAAATAAGCAACAAATAATAATAATAATAATAATAATAATAACAACGTATAAGTTGATCACGTCTGTACTGACGAACCGTACTTATTCCTTTCTGAAAACAAACAGCATTCTTCCGCTGGAACAGAAGGGATGCAGAAGAGGTTCATAAGGCTGCAAAGATCAACTTCTGATAAATAAAATGATCCTGGAAAATTGTAGGAGACGACGCAGGAATCTAAGTGCAGCGTGGATTGATTATCGTAAAGCCTTTGATAGTGTCCCACATTCTTGGATCCTTAAGACTTTGGAAATGTACAAAGTCTCCCCTGTGGTATTAAATTTCCTTAAGCACAGCATGGGAATGTGGAACACCAAACTATACCTTAGTCACACCGGGGGCACTGCCATATCCAACCGTCTGAATATCCGACGTGGAATCTTTCAAGGAGACTCTCTGTCACCCCTTCTGTTTTGTTTATCCTTAATCCCTCTTACACACGAACTGAACAACAGTAGCTATGGTTACAAAATAAATAAGAAAATATTCAATCACCTACTCTACATGGATGATCTCAAACTCTTTACCAAAGACGCCAATGAGTTGAAAGGCCTCCTCAATATTGTAAAATACTTCAGTGACGACATAGGTATGGACTTCGGATTAGATAAATGTGCAAAAGTAATATTCAAGAAAGGTAGAATTACAGAAACACCCTTAATAGATTTAGATTTTGTCACAAAGATTAGGGAACTGAGCATGATGAAGCTTATAAGTACCTAGGAATTAGCGAAGGAGATGGCATACAACACCCCCAAATGAAGGAAAAAATAAGAAAAGAATACTACAGGCGTGTACGCCTGGTACTAAATACTGAGCTAAACTCAAAAAACAGAATATCAGCCATAAACACATTGGCTGTCCCTGTGATGCAATACAGCTTTAATGTCCTTAACTGGACCATAGCTGAAATTAAGCGAATGGATACCAAAACGAGAAAGCTTCTCACTTGCTATCGCATGCATCATCCCAAAGCTGATGTTGATCGTCTGTATGTGCCCAGATCCGATGGAGGCAGAGGATTAGTTCAACTAGAACTGTTCTACAAAACTACAACAATTGCCCTCCAAAGATACCTGGAAACTACAGAAGACTGGATGATGATATGCGTCAAGGAACATGAAAGTAGTAAGCGTTTTTACTCCGTAATGAAAGAAGCCAACAAATTCAAAATGGAGTTTCAAATGGGCGTAGAGATGCAACTACAGCACAATACACCGGCTGAAACTGCAAAATACTTAAAAAAAAGACAGCAAAGACGAATGCAACCGACCAGATACAGAAGCGATGTCAAGATAAACCGCTTCATGGCCAATATTCTGCCCGTACCAAACAAGCTGACGTAGACAAAACCCGTACTCATCAGTGGCTACGTAGTGCAGGGTTGAAAGCGGCAACTGAAGGTTTTATCCTTGCTGCGCAGGACCAATGCTTGCTAACTAGGAATTATCAAGCACATATACTAAAATATTGTGTCAGCCCAAAATGCAGATTCTGTGATAAATATCCAGAAACGATTGATCATCTTGTATCAGGTTGCACGGTGTTGGCACCCACTGAATATAAAACCCGACATGACAGAGTGGGCCACTATCTGCACTGGAAAATATGCAACTTCTACGGGAAGGAAACTGAAAGAAACTGGTATGAACACCACCCAGACCCGGTTACGGAGATAGGACCTGTTACAATTCTATGGGACAACACAATACACACTGACAGAACAATCATGGCCAATCGGCCAGATATTGTTATTAAAGACCACAAACAAAAAACGGTGCCTCCTCATTGAGATGGCAGTCCCTGCTGTCTGTAATGTATCTTTGAAGATATTCAAAAAGCTGTCAAAATACAAGGACCTTGAAATAGAAATCTCGAAAATGTGGCATATGGGAACATCAACAATCCCTGTTGTAGTTGGAGACCTAGGACTGGTTGGAAAAGATTGCAGTAGACT